AGCCTGGAATCTATCTGTAGTATCCATCGCATGGTATCACAAAGAGCTTTCACAGCTCAGTAATAAACAAATAATCCAATTTTTTTTTTTTGTACCAGGTATCGAACTCAGATCCTTGCACTTGGAAGGCAGGTGGCAGCACCACTGAGCTAAATCCCCAGCCCAAAATAATCCAATTTTTAAAACAGGCAATTGATTTCAAAAGATATTAGACACAAAAATAGCTATGGACAATTAATAAAAACATGAAAAGATAATCAACATTATTTAGTTATCAGAGTAATCCAAATCAAAACCACTTTGGGAGACCACAACTCATGCATTAGAAAGATAAAATTTTAAATAGCTGGCAATACCAAGTGCTGGTGAGGAAGTTGGGAGGTTTCTTGCCTTCCAGTTGAGCAGTTTCTTACAAAGTGAAATTAACATTTACTAGGGGCCGGGGATTTAGCTCAGCAGTTCGGTGGCCTGCCTTGCAAGCTCAAGGACCCGAGTTCAATCCCTGGTACCAAAATAAATAAATAATAAATAAAAAAGAAATTAACATTTACCATATTGATATAAGGGAAGTAGATATAGCTCACAACCTGGTAGATGTCAACTAAACTGGGTTCATTTTCCCCAAAATCAAAGAATAAAATCTATGAAACAACAGAGGTTAAGAGTAGGAAAAAATTTATTGAGAGGGATAGCTCCTGAGAGACAGGAGAGTGCCCAAAACTGGGTTGCCAATGAGCCCACTTCTCAAAGGAAGATTTATAGAGCAACATCACAAGGTGGGTACAAATTCATGAAGTGAGTACAATGTGGGTCAAGCTATGATCAACCAATAAGATTGTAAGTTTAGCTGCTTAGGTAATATAGCTCAAATGCGGACGCAGGTGGCATAGCCAGTGTACATGGAAAGAGCAAAGTTTTTTTAGAAAAGGAGGGATAAGGAGGTCTTGGTCACGGGTGACTTATGTCTACCTAGGCTTTATTGGACCAGGTAATACCACTTATCTTATCCCATGCGGAGGTATGTAGGCTGGGTCATTCCATCTTTATCTTGAGGGCTGGCCTTTAACAGATGTGCTTCTAGCCACAGTTGTAATGTATTCTCATCCTCTGCACTGACTCTGTCAGGGTCCTAGCCCTCTCTGACTGCCTGTATTTCTACCTAACTTAGCTGTCTATAATACTCTCCCCTATGAAGAGTGAGCCCTAACTGTGATGAGGGAGCAAATGACAATGACTGTTCTGGCTAAAGGTGATCATAATTGTGAGTGGCTGTCAAAGATACTCTCCAGAAGGTCAACCTAAAGGCCCTCAATAGACATCAGGCATTTTTGTCTTGGGTAGACATATAGCTTTAAGTCTGGAAACAACATGGCCAAAGAAGCAGTTAAGTATGCATGGACCAAATAATAAGATCAACAAGGCTACTATAAATATGAGCAAGAAATGTTTCCACCAGGAAGAACCAGTAATAGCCTCTCAATAAGGGGGAAAGAATAAGGTCTAGGGAATTTTAGAATCTGACATGGCATTAACCTGTCATTTAGTATTTTGAACAGCCATTGATATATTAGCTGAAAGACCAGGAATGTACACACAACATTCAGCTTTTACAATTGTATGAGTATCCCCTTGTTCTGTTGTTAGGAGGTCTAATGTCATTTTTGGAGGGCACCTTGCCTCATTAATTTTAGTTCTTTATTTAGGAGACTGAGACCAGTCAAAGTGTTGTTTAAGGCTGGTTGAGTATAGTTATCCAAGACCTCGATATATTGATGACATCCTCTAATTCTAGAGAAGGACAAAGATAAAACCAAATGACCATACCAGTGAAACACACTTTTAGACCATTAATGTTATAGATGGGATACATTTGCAGGTTTGTTGATATTTTTGACATTCAGGCCTTGTAACCACGCAAATCCCAGAATGCATCTCTCTATCCATCCAGGAGTAGCCAGGGCCACAAATTGGTTCCACAAGACCAATGAGTGCCATTGAAGCTTCCCATCTAATTTCAGGGTGATTAAACCAGTCTGTTGCAGCCCAGTGTTTGACACAGAAGGTTATGATGTGTATAAACTGATTAGGAAGTATCCATCCAAGTATCTAGTAGAGTTAGGACAATGAGGATAGGAGTGATTTCTTTGTTCCCAATGTAAAGGGACCTTTCTACTAAGTTTTCCCATAGTGGGGGTTAACCTTATATAATCAGCCCAATTCTGGAAATAGCAATCTTGATATCATCGATGGTTGGCTGTCATGACAGAGCTCTTACTCCAACTTAATAAGGGGTTCTACTGGAGTTGGTAGAGAGGCTTCCGTGCCATCCTTAGAAAAAATTCAATTATGTTCAAGATTATTAAGGGTGGAGTTTACAGGCTATTCAGTTATTTTGTAATGTAAGGCTAAACTATGAACCACTAAACTTCTTCATGTCTTGTCAGTGCAGTCATGTAGCTTATTGCAAATATCTCCTTGAAGTGGGGGTACCCACCATGGAAGTTCTTATGTACTTGACACGGGTGCAGGCCACATATCCAGGAAAATGTTCATTGTAAAAACTGAATATTCCTGTGCCCACACTAGAAAGGAATTGCACTCTCCTTTAAGTGGTAAAGGAATTAGTAAAAAGGTTAAGACTAACATATTATATTACTTATGGAAGGACTTTGCTTTCTTTTTTGACAAGAATTTTAAGTCTTCTATGGATTCACAGGAGTTTTTGGATGGTTGCTCGCATTTAGTGACAATCACTGGTTCCTAGGGCTTGAGTTGGGTGTGATGTATCCAGGAGTCCAGGCCTGCTACTCTGACAGCTGATGGAGTTGACAGAATCACAGTGTGTGGTCCTTCCCAAGTTGGTCCTAGGGAAGGACACGATGAGGGACTCTACCGGTACTAAATCTCTGGGTGAAATATAGGATTGCTCTTCAATTTAAACTGTGCTTCCATTAGCTGTTGAAGAGCCTTTGAACAATTAGCTTAATTCATTTGGAATTTAGCCAGTGAGGTGACATCTCTTAGTAAGGCATCTGCTTATTTATCGAAAGAAAAATCATAAGTGAGAAAAGGGCATCCATAATGCATTTCAAATGGGCTGAGGCCTAGAATTTGAGGTGTATTTCTTACTTTGATAAGAGCTAAAGGTGGTAAGTAGGGCAACTATAGGTGCGTTTCCTGAGCCATTTTGCAAAAATGTCTCTTTAAGGTCTCATTCATTTTCTCTACCTTTACCAAAGATATGGCTTCCATGCACAATGAAGGTGATAGAGAATGTTCAGTGCCTGAGAGACACCTCATGTAGCTGTTGCTTTAAAAGAAGGCCCATTGGGCTGGGGATTTAGCTCAGTGGTTCCACCACCTGCCTTGCAAGCACAGGGTCCCAAGTTCAATCCCTGGTACCAAACAAAAAAGGTCCCTTATCATTCTGTAAGCTCTTGGTAAGTCCAAATCTGGCAATGATTCCAAGATTTAAGCCTTTAGCACTTCTTGTAGATTTCTGTTATGCAAGGGAAGACCTCAACCTCATGAAAGTATTACCCAGAATAGATATTAGAACACCTACTCTTTGACATATGAGTAAAACTGAGCTGCCAATTTTTTCCAGGGTATTTATCATGTCTCTGTATACCTGGAGGGCTTATGGCATGATTTAGAGGATTGTTCTTTTAGCAGAGTTTACATCTTAATTATCTATTGTATTGTCTGTGAGAATCCCTTTCCTATGAATAACTTTGAGGCCATATGGTGGGTGTGGTTCCTCCCCGAGCAAAAATTTTGATGTAAAGACTTAATTTTTCATTGACTAGCACCAGGAAGGAACAATTTACCATCATCTGATTGTAACCATCCTGATGGAAGGGACTGACACCCGTGGGAGAGAGCCCACTCAACTTCTGACTGAGAATATTTGGGTTGAGTATGATTAAGAGGCCCTTCCCAGATCATAAGGGTCTGAAGGGAGGGCCCTTGAGTAGCTTCTTTTTCAGCTGCATCACCCAATGGATTACCTTAAAATACTCATCAACTTCTTTTTCTACTCTACAGTGAATTACCGCCACTTTGGAGAGCATACAGACAGATGATAAAAATTCATCTATCTCCTTATGATGCTTTGTGGCAGATTCATTGGCTGTCAAATCATTCTTTTTTTCCATATGGCTTCATGAGCATACAGCACTAGAAAAGCATACTTTGAATCAATACAAATATTGATGTTTTGTTCTTCACTGAGTTGTAAAGCCCTTGACTGAGTTATGAGTTCTGCTAGCTAGGCACTAGTCTCAGGGGAAAGTGAGGAACTTTTAAGTGTCTGATGCAGAGTCACTACTGGATACTGAGAATCCTCATGACCAGGTCGCTCAACTGACTTGGACTGTGCTTCATCAAGGGTTCAGAGACAGTCCTCAAAAAGAAGCCCTGAATCTGTATGTAAAGGAATACAAAAGAAAGCATCTTTTAGAACTAACACTGAAAACCAACTGGCACCTTCCAGAATCTGAAAAAGGAGATTTTACTAGTTAGGTATCATTAGGTGGATTATCACTACCAACACAATTACCAGTCTAAGTCCCTGTACCAATATCCATTCTCCATTGGGTTTTTGAACTCCCAAAATTGGAGTGTTGCATGGGCTACTACAGACTTTAAGTAAACCTTGTGCTCTTAAATTGTCAATCATGCACATTTTAACTTAGATTTTTAGAATATTGTCCCTAGTGAGGAAAAATAATAGGATCTTTGAGACGTATTTGTATCAGGGCAGTGTTCATTGCTCTCCATAGTCTACCTTTAGTTGCTCATACTTCAGGATTGATTTCTGTTTCCACGAGGAGGAGGCAGTGTACCTGACCTGGGTGCATGTATATTATGGTATTTAAACAAGACAAAATAACTCTCCCCAGAAGGGGAACTGGACTTCCAGGCATAATTAAAAGGGAATGTATAAAGAGAAAGCCATCCCAGTTATAGCCTAAGGGTTGTGAGAAACAGGGAGTTACCTCAACTCCAGCATCTCCTTTCACTGATGAATGATGTCTGGGAAGAAGGCTAGGGTTCCAGAGAAAGACCAAGAGACATGCGTCAGCGTCCATCAGTAGGCTGATTCCTTCCCCTCTGTAGTCCCGATTACCTGGGGCTCCTCCTTGGAGATGACAGTCCTGCCAGAGGGAGAAGAAAGAGAGCGCCCTGGGGCCGTTCGATCTTGCTGGACCAGCTGGTAAGACGGCTCTGAGCACTGGGGCTTTTGCCTCAGAGGGCAATGTGACTTCCAGTGGTCACCTTCGCAATTAAAGCATGGCCCCGGGGTTTTCTTGTTTCTGGCAGCAGTAGCAGATGGGTTTAATCATGGAGCTCCTTTTGGAGTCCCAAGAATCAGACTTAATTTCTTTAAGGGCTACTGCAAGGCTATCGCCTTCTTTTGACCCCTCTGTTTTCTCCCCTTGCCCTCCTTCTGCTCTCAATTATAAAATACTGTGGAAGCAATTTTTACTAAAGTACCAAATAAACTATCTAGAGCAAAAGTCATCTTTTGTAACATTTTTTCTGGTATCTGGGGCTGACTGGGTAATAAACTTGTCTTTAAGAATAATCTTTCCGTCTATGGAATCATGAGCCTGGGATGTATGTTTCGCCAATGCCTCTTGTATGCAATCTAAGAAGGCAGAGGGGTTTTCTTTTCCTCCCATTGAATAGCTGATAATTTTAAATAATTAAAGGGCTTAGTTCTTGTCCTTCTTAGACCTTCAAAAATACACATCTGAAGATGCCTTCTATTCCAATCACTCGTCTGGTTGGTAGGCCAACAGGGATCTTGTGTAGGGGCTGCTTGGGCTCTGGTAAGAACCAGCTGTTCCCCAGGCTGCCTGTCTTCTGGCCTCCTAAAAGTAACAACATAAGATTCATCTCCAAATGCAAGGGCAGCTTGTAATGCTACTTGTTTCTCATTAGAAGTCAGTGTTTGATTTAAAAGTAACATTGCATCCTTCATACATTTGAGTAAGTCCTCTAAAGACATAAATTTATCAAGATGGTCTGAAAATTTTCCTAGGTCTTGTTTGATCTGTTTGAGGTCACTGAGAAAAAAGGATGCGTGGACAGGAGCATGTCCAAATCCTCCACTTACTTCTTGTATGGGGTATTCTCTGAGGGGCTTGAATAAAAATAGCTACAGGTGGATGTAGTCCTATAGAGACTTTAATTATAACTGGTTTAGAAGCCTCACCCTTGGACTCTAAAGGGTAAGGGAGAGGGATCTCAGCCTAGAAAGGGCAAGTGGGGAAAGCCTTAAACTTGGTAATAGTAGGTGGAACTTTGGCTAGAGTTGTCTTGGAAATCTTGTTCTCAGTTTTAATAATAGCAGGTGGAGTTTTGTTTGTTTTGTTTTGTTTTGTTTTTTGAGACATTGTCTCACTATGTAATTGAGACTGACCTGGAACTCACTATGTAGCCCAGGCTGGTCTCAGACTCACAGCAATCCTCCTGCCTCAGCCTTCCACGTACTGGGATTACAGGTGTGTGCCACCATGCCCAGATTGAACTAACTCAGGTCCTTATGCTTACCAGGCAGGCAGCGGAACCACTGAGCTAAATCCCCGGCCCTGGGTGGGGTTTTGATTAAAGTTGCCTTGGAAACCTCATCCTCAGGGTTTAAAAGGAAAGGGCAGGAAACCTCAGACTCAGTGATAGGGGCCAGATGTGTCTGGTTTTCTTGTGGTTTACATTTACATTTTGAATACAGATAAGGATTACCTCTTAATGTAAAAAAATCTGAACATAAGGCAATTCTGATGGTTTTTTCTCTCTCTCTCTCTCTCTCTCTCTCTCTCTCTCTCTCTCTCTCTCTCTCAGTACAGTTCTAATTGTGAAGTACTGTAGCCTCATAGTCAGTACCTCCCTCTGAATTCCGATTTGGCTCTAGAGGATAGGCAGGCCATGCACAGGTGCAGAAAAATACTAAGCTGCTCTTCCTCAATATGTGAGGGCTGAACTTTAAGAGGTTTTGACATTGGGTTCAGCAAGCTGAAATGAAAAAGAAAGAACTGGCTTCCCTTTAATTTCTCTTTGATTTGTGTACCTTCAAGGTCTCCTGAGTTGGTCCCATTCCAGGGCAAGTGGCTTCCATCTGGAGAATGAGTAGGAGATAAATCCGACCCGACTATCCAAACTTGTGCTGGTGTGTGATCTTATATTCCCAGGAAATTCATATTTTTATTCTTGTAGGTGTTTTTTATAAGCACAAGTTACAATTTATTTCAGCCATAATGATCATATTCAAAGGAATTATTGCTAACAAACCAATAATCAAGAGATCTAAACCTTTGCTTTTTTGTTTGTCTGTTTGTTTTTGGCAGTACCAGGATTGAACTCAGGACCTTCCACTTGCCAGGCAGGAGGCAATGATGGTGACACTGAGCTATATCCCCAGCCCTATAACCTATTGCTTTTAATTCTTTGAGAGAGATTGAGGCAAATAGATCAAAGGGCAGCATTTGTCATCCTGTAAAATAGATCACAGAAGCAAACAGATGGCTCAGAGGAGTTTCACCCATGAAGAAGTCTCCAAAGCACCTGTGTTATCTACCTAATCACCTAGGCAATTCTCCTTAGCAGCAAGACAAGGCTATGCATAGTTCAAAGTCCATTCTGTCTCTGAAGCTCACAGGTTAAACTTATACCTGTCACCTAGCAACCACAAGGCACACATCAGTTTTCTACGTGTACATGAAAGAAGAGAAAGGCTGGCTAAAATCGCCTTTTTACTCTAGCATATAACAAGCACAAGTGTAAGTCACTTCTCTGCTAGCTGTTCTGTGAAAGGCAAACAGTTGCTGCAAGCTGCTTCTGCCTGAGACCTCCCAGAGAAGTCTGGTGATAGGTAGCTAAAGAGTTCTAAAGTTAACTCCCAATGATCTGGAGAAAAGCTTAGAGGGAGTTTCTAACCTAGCAAAGACCTGCCAAGTCACCTAGGGAGTCACTGTTTCTATTCATGCCTGGCCTCATTGGGGTCTATCTTGCTAGCAGAGAGAGAACAGTCCAAACCTCTAGCTTAACTCTTCATGGAGGCAAAAGAAAAGGTCTTCACGGCACCATTTCAAGTAACTGTGAGACGGAGGATACCTGCTGATCACTCCGGGAGTTATTTTTCACCTCACTGAGGAGTACAGTAGGGACGATAGGTAAGTGGAGATTTTCTGTTGATTACCCCATCAGGCCGTCGGGACCCAGGTTCCGCTGGGGGACCTTCGGGTATCAGCCAGGGAGTAGCCCCAGTCATGACACCTTAGTCATCCTTTCAACTTCCACTAGGCCCATGCAATCAGAGACCTGTCTCCAGAAAGGAATCCATTTGCCTATCTGGCCAACATCCCATCAACCATTGGCCTCAATGGGGATTCACCAGAAGGTACTTGGGGAAAACTGTCCTCTGCTTTGAGAGTGGCAGCTGCTCTGGTAGCATTTATGAGCTGGCAGAGTAGCCACTGTTTGTTTTAGCATTCTATAAGGGACAGATAAAAGTACATGAGCTGACTTTATTTGAGATGACTTCCCTGTTTTCAGCATTAATAAATGCTCATTTTCTTTTTTCATTTCTTTTCTTTTTTTTTTCTTTTTTTGAGACAGTGTCTCACTACGTAGTTGAGACTGACCTGGAACTCACTATGTAGCACAGGCTGGTCTTGAACTCATAGTGATCCTCCTGCCTCAGCCTCCCCAGTGCTGGGATTACAGGCATGCACCACCATGCCCGGCCAAATGTTCATTTTCTATGGGCTCAACTTAACAGTCCTCAGCTGGAAAAGATCAAGACAGTTTAGAGGTCCTTTCATTCTCTAACTTTATATGTCTCTATTTCTCAAATATAAACCAGATTTCATAAAAAGACTCATTTTGCAGCACTTTCTAAAATTATCTGTAGTTACTGTTAAAGTCTACTAAGTGGTGCTATAACAGCAATTCTGTCTAAAATAACAAACCTGTCAAGCAATTAATATAAAACTTTACCTGTAAAAGTAAAATATCCCTTTAAAGAACATCAGATCATTTTAACAAAAGGCAACGTATAAGACTAAAGACATAAAAGTCATGGCACAAACAGTGACAAACAAGAACGATAATTTTTGACTACCTAATATGAATCAACAAAATAAAAACAAACTCTTACCTCCTTTTAATTATTTCTTATCTTGGTGAGGCCATCAATAATGACACAGGAGATTAAATATGAAAACATTTCTCTTGTTAGAGAGCTGGTGCACCAAATTTGTGTTCTCTAAAAGTTGAAGAATGAATTCTAGGAATAACAGGAGAGTATGAAATATTTATTGAGTGGGAAAAGACACAGCTCCTGAGAGGCAGGAAGGGTCCTGAATGGGTACTAAGGGACTCCACTTTACAGGGCAGTTTTATGTAGTGAAACGCCCCTGGGTACAATGTTATAGCTATAATAACCAATAAGATACAAGCATTTAGGTAACAGTGCTCCATTTGGGAAACAAGTCATGTAACAAGTGTTCATGAAAAGAACAAAGACTTCTTCAAGGACATGATGGATTCAGAAATCTTTGGAAGGTGACTGGTGGTTATCTAGCCTTCCTTAGGCCTGCTGTTTGTCTTTTTAGGAAGTATACAGGACTGGTCATCTTGAAAATGAAGTGTGGTATGGGTTAATTAAAAGTGGAGTTTAAAACTCCATGGTCTTGTGGTCTGTAGTAAATGATTATTACAAACGCATATTTTCTTGCTAGTGCTGTCAGACACATAACCCCCCACGGAACCTGTTAATACCACCAAGGGCGTAGTTCTCTATCTCTGCCCAGGGCTTGAACACATTCTGGAATGTAATGTACTCTATATGATGCCTACTCTAAGTACGTATCCTTCTTATCTGCTCCTCCGTGGCAGACCATGCCCTAAACTGATACATACTTCAAATATGTTTCTGACCCTGAGTTTGACCTTGCTATAGACCAATCAATAATAATGATATTGTATATACAACCAATCAACTGCCTGCTGTGCTTCTATACTAGCTCCTGCTTACCAATCCTATATAAACTATAGGCAGACAAAAAGACAGTGCCTGGTTCTCTAAAAAATTATCCCAATCAGGCCCATCCACATAAATAAAGTTTGTTTTCTGCCTTAAAGTCCGGGGTGCCTGTCCATATTTCCTGTTTGCCATTACAATCTCATCTTTATTGTGAGGCCTGGTCTCCAGGAAATGTGTCTCCAGCCACAGCTGTGATGCATTTTACCTTTGTCCTGACTTTCCCTGGGCTTATCCCTACCTGACTCCCTGTAATATTTCTGTCTAGCTTAGCTGTCTATAATACCAGGATTCTGGGAGGCTGAGGCAGGAGGTTCTCAAGCTTGAGCCCAGTCTGGGCCATTTAGAGACTTGTTGAGGCTCTGGCTCAAAAAATTCAAAAAAGTTCTGAGTTCATAGGGCTGGGTGTAAAGGCCCTGGGTTTGATCTCCAGTACTGCAAAAAGAAAGAAGACCTGGCAGAGCCGACGGTCTAGTGCATACCACTCGAGTGAAGGAGGGACCAGGCTGGTGGCACAGAGGGTGAGGGAGAGAAGGGTCCAGATGCCGCCTGGATGTGGGCACCGCCACGGCAGGGGTCCTGGAGCTGGGTTTGGAGCAAGAACTGGGGAGGCCCAGGCTTGACCCTCTGGGGGCGGGGCCTGGGGAGCTCGGAGCCTCAGCTTTGGGGGACCCTGAACATGTGCCCAGGGGGACCGTGGGGCCCTGAGTGAGGAGGCCACCACAGCCAGGGCACACACATGGGGTCTGGAAGGAGCTGTGCACCTAGACGGTGACAGCTGACACACAGAGCATGTGCTGTGTGCCAGGTGCTGAACAGAGTACTTTAAATGCATAGACGCATTTAATCCCATAACAGTTCTTCCCCGTGAGGTAGTCTGAGTTCTCTCATGATATTTTAAGATTTGGAGAAACTGAAGCACACAAATCACTAATGAATAAGTTTTAGAGCCAAGATTTGATCCTAGATTGTATTTTCTGTACTGGGGATTGAGCCCAGGGCCTTCACACTGAGCTACACCTCCAGTCCTTTCTATACATTTATTTATCTCTTATTTTCAGACAGGGTCTCAACAAGTCACTAAGTTGCCCAGGCTGGGTTTGAACTTGCAATCCCCCTGCCTCAGCCTCCCAGAGTGCTGGGATGACAGACATGCTCGACACACTGAGCTTGATCCCAGATGTTTTATTCCAAAGTCACTGCTCTTCTCCTGTCTCCTTGGAAATCTCACGATGCTAACGTTGGTAGCAGTAGCTATCGCCGTCACTGTGGCTGGGTGGGTTCCAGCCGCTGGAGGACGACTCTGTGCCGGTCCCTGGTGCCCGAGACTCAGTGGCCCCGGGCACCTCATCATCACACGACTGTGCTGCGTCCCTGTCTCCCGACACCTGTCTCCAAGCCCCTGCTCCAGGCAGGGAGGGGCCGCACTCACCCTGGCACTCCCGGGTGCTCTGGTGCGTCAAGGTGCCTGGCGGGCAGGCGCGCAGACACTTCCCCTTGTGCAGAAAGAACCGTCTCTTGCAGCGGATGCAGAAGTCCTGGCTGAAGCAGCTGTCACACGTGGACCCGCATCCTGCAACAGAGCCAGGACGCTGGGCGGTGAGGGGCCCCTGCCCAGGAGGGGCCCCGGGTCTGGCTGAGGTGGCCCCTGAGCAGCCACAAGCTCTGCGGCACGGGGTCCGGATGCAGTGTCTTCTCTGAACCTCAGACTTGGCCAAAGTAAAACTGGGCTGCTTGTGAGAAATCTTTTCTCATTTTAGCTGCATTCAGAAAGGGCAAGTGAGTTGCTTAAAATCACACAGCAAATCTGGGCTGGGAGTGAGGCCTCCCTGCCTGATTTTCTATCAAGCCTCGGAGACAATGATGGTTTGTCCCAGGTCACAGCCCAAAGAGGAGGTAGAACACTTTTCTGAGCTAGGCCCAGAGAAGGTGAGTAACATACCCAAGGCCACACAGCAAGCTAGAAGTGATGGTTCCCCACCCTGTCAGTGCTGATGAAGGCAGAGAGGGGATGATTGCCAGTCTGGAGCTGAGCAGGCGTCAAGTCTGGGCTCAGGTGTCTTCCTGCCTCCCCCAGCTGTGCTGGGGGAACAGGACGGGAGGAGGGGAGCCACGTACTTTTGCACCTGTTGACGTCCTGGCCGCGGATGCCGAAGAAGCCGAGCGGACAGCCGTGCACGCACTTGCCGAACTGGCGGACGCCCTCGCGGCGGATGAGCAGGAAGAGCCTCTGCTGGCAGGTGGAGCAGCCGTTGTCCTCCGAGCAGATGACGCAGCCCGTGCAGTTGCCCCCCAGGCCAGAGCCCACTGCCAGCCAGACCGGGAAGGGGGGGAGGGGACAGAGTCAGCACACGTGAGAGCTGCGCAGACTGCACGATGCTATTACAGGGCTCCCAAACAAGACTACATCCCCCAGCTTCCTTTGCAACGTGATGCCGGCACGCAGCCAAAATCTGCCCTAAGGGACAGGGCCATGCCCTTTGTCATCCCTTCTCCTTTCTTCGGGTGGAATGTGAACGTGGTGGTTGGAGCACAGGCAGTCATTTTGGACCATGAGGGGAAAACCATGCCCTGGGGGTGGTGGAGAGATGAGGTCAAAGGAGGCTGGGTCCCTGAAGGCGGAACTGTTGTACCAGCTCTAGACTAAATGTGTAGACTTAAGTTAGCATGAGCGAGAAATGAATCTCTATTTTGCTTAAACTACTGTTATTTGGAGTTTTGGGGGGTTTGTTTGTTTGTTTGTTTTTGAGACAGGGTCTCACTGTGTAGTTGAGACTGACCTGGAACTCACTATGTAGCCCAGGCTGGTCTTGAATTCACAGAGATCCTCCTGCCTCAGCCTCCTGAGTGCTGGGGTTACAGGCATGCGCCACCTGGTTTGGAGTTTTGTCTTATTCATGGGCACACTTAGCATTTACTAATGCTGTGTGTATGTAGTTTGATTAAAAAATACAGAGTGCTTAAATGATTTAAAATTCTTACTTTAAAAGACATTCTGCCATTTAATTCCCTTCTAGATCCTCCCCTCTCTTTGAACACACTTGTTCCATCATTGCTGCCACTTTCTGGGGCATTTTTGGAAGTCTTCTTTCACAGTCCTCTTTAGTTGCAGTGTTGTGACTGCCTTGATGTCCTGAACTGATTCAAAATGTTTACTTTTCATGTTCACTTTTACTTGGGAAAGAGCCAAAAGCTGTACAGTGCCCGATCCCGTGGATCAAGTCGTGAAGGCTCACTGCTTATTTTTACCAGCCTGCCTTTCCAGGGGGTGGCACTCTGCAGCAGCATTCACCATGTTTTTATCACAATTTGTGAAGACACTCGCAGAACACGACTTCCAGAACTGCTGCAGAATGTGGTAAGAACAGTGGGATGAGTGTGGTGAACGTGAGGAAGAGGATTCTGAGAGGGATTCATGGCAAAATGGCTTTCACGATGGTAAATTATTTCATGTAAGCATTCACCATATATTTTGATCACCCCTTGTATTTTTGAGTGCGAGGGGAGCATGTGCACACGGGGTACAAGGTGAGGCCTTTGCCCTCCTGTGTGGTTCTCAGAGAGATTCTGTTCCCCACCGTCACTGCCATCAAGGCCTCTCACCAGCTTTGGGTACAGCAAGTTGAAGGGAGGACTTTTTAATGCTCCAGCACTGGGAAGCAGGAACCAAAACTGGGGAGAAAGGAGGCAGGAAATTCCCTTGGATCTGAAGAGCCTCGCTGAGGCCACAGGGAGGCCATGGATCAGGGTCACTCAGAGGGAGTCTCGGGAGTTAGTTGTCAGCCTTGGGCAGCTGCCGTGGGTGCTATCCTTTCCCTCTGCTCCCAACTCTCCAAAGCCAGGGAGGAGAGGCACAGGCAAGGCCAAGAGGGGAGACAGCAGCAGGAGAGCAGGCCTGTCCTTCCCAGCAGGCTTGAGGGGATGTCAGAGGCCAGGGCCTCTAGGAGGAGCCGGCTTGGTGGCCTGTGCAGCTGCCTTGCAGGGGTCCATAGCTGTCAGGTGCCCAGCAGTGAGAGGCAAAGTGTCAGAAAGTGGCCGGGTCTCAAAGCGAGACAAGAAAGGCTGAGCATCTCCTTGGAAGAAGCAACAGGGCAAACACTAAACCCTCCATGTTTGTGCTCTACCAAGGCCAGCTGTTCAGTGAGCTGGTCCCGCACCTTGCTCCCCTGAGCCCTTGGCCCTGCAAGTCAGCAGAGGGTGGTCCCCCACCAGAGCCTGCCAGATTCTCACTCCTGTGAGTCCAACACAGAAGTACGGGGACCCCGTGGGGGGTGTTGTGGTTGGGATCTGGAACATGCTCCAGAGGCTCTTTAGTCAAAAGCCTGGTGCCCAGTGCAGCAGCTTTCAGAGGCTGGGCTTTGGGGGGGTGACTGGATCATGTGGCCCTGATCACTGCATGAATCCATTGATGGTTCATAGCTGGTGGACCACTGAGTGTGGCTTTGAAGGTTCTATCTTGTCTGTCTCTGTCTCTGACTCTGCTCTCTGTCCCTCTCTGTCTCTCTCTGTCTCTATAGCACACATCCCTGCCCAGTATTAGCAGACTATAAGTGGCACAAGCTCCTTGCCCCTTCATAATTTGGCTGTATTTTATTAGGGGTTTGATCAAAGCTTTATGTGACTCCAATGGGCATGCGGATTGAAGAGTTGGGCAAGTATAGCTTCTTCACTAATGGCTGCTACCAAGATTTAAGTCCTAGTCCATGACGTAGCTGGGCCCAGCTAAGTTAACTTTCAGCCAAGGTCAACTTGACTCCAACTAAATTCTTTCCCTCTGAATGAACCATTTGTTCCCATCAATACGATATGCTCGTGCCTCCCTTTTACAGTCCTGCCTGTGATACCCGCTATCACCAGGTGTCCTCCTTCCCTCCTTCCCATGCTTGTAATGAATAAACACTGGATGTTCTTGATGCCTTTTGTCTTTGCTGCTCAGAGCATGCGATAGTTGGAAATCTTGTTGCAGTGCCTTGGAAGTCTGATGAAAATAGCTATGTGACTTTTTAGCCTGATCAAGGGCTGCAAAGGATACTATAAGTTGATCCACCTGTACATTGCCATACAAAAGTGGCCCAGAAAGGTTGGTATGTGATCAAATGTGTCCCATATCAAAGGGAGCAGGTCTTTGACATATGACCTTTTGCAATCCCAACAAATTTCATCTGCAGAACGGTTTTGCAACACTGATGATGCATAAATGTGTAGTCAGAGAAGACAGAAAGGCCAGACACACACTGAATCCAAGATAGTAGCTCCTCTGGGTCAAAGGTGGGGCAAGGGATTGGGGAACAAGACTGGAGAATTTTTTATGCCCCTGATATTTAATTTCTTAAAATCTGAAGCAAATGTGAAAATGGAAAGAACTGATCAAAGTGGCTGGCAGGTGTGCATTACATTATGTTTTTATTCTTGACTGTAAGTTTACCTCAAAACTGCAGTCCTCCTGATTCTGCCTCCCAAGTAGCTGGGATCACGGGCATTCACTACTGTGCCCAGCTTATCGGTGTGTTTTTAATTTCCATGTTTTTATGGGTTTCCCCAATATTCTCCTATTGACTTTGCTTTATTTTTGGGGATTGAAAAGATTCTGTATAATTCCAAAAGTGTATTGAGACTTGCTTTATGGCCTAACATATGGGTGATCCAGAGAATCTTCTGTGTCCTCAGCAATTCCCAAGGTCACCCATGGCTACACCCAGCTCTCCAATGAAGCAAAGCCAGAGAAACTGGTGGGGGGCCTCCAGGTCTGGAAACCAGGGTTCTTATGCTCCCTCCCCACACTAAGCATACCTTCTGTAGTCTCTCGCAGCCCCTCTAGCAGGAGGAAGCAGCAGAGGGAAACCCCTGGTTAAATCAGCCTCTTCCCAAATCCGTACCAGGCTCTGGAGCTGACTGCAACCTCCTGCCAGAAAAACTGGGGAAGGTGGCTCAGCTCCCAGACTCTATAAGCACTCAGCCCAGGCTGACTTGTCCAGACCAGGCCTGCGGGTGCTCAAGACATCGCCAGAAGGGCACCAGACCTGGGGGTTCCCCATCGCCCTTCCAGAGGTTCCTCTTCAGCACGGCAGCTCTGTTCCCATCACCCTTTCCTTAGCGTAGGAAACAGAGTTTCCGATCTCCTACACTAATCTATAATGTTAGGCATAAGACCTCTTACTGAGGAGGCACCTACGTGGGCAATTGCACTGAATCCCCGATGAAAGGAATAATCTACTTACAGCAAGTTCACACAGCTGGGAAGTGACAGAGTTAGGCTTTGAACCCAGGTGGTCTGGCTCTAGAGCCTGTAGGATGCAATCACCCCACTGCAGTGCCTCCTCAAAGGCGGGCAGTAGAAGATCCATTTCCTCTGGGAAGTGGGGGGACCCCTGCCTGGAGCACTGTCGCATTTGTCAACTCCGTGGTGTATTAGTCACTTTCTCATCACTGAGACGCGGAACCTGACGCCCACAGCTTAAGGAAGGAGAGGTTGATTTCGGCTCACACTTCAGACCATAGACAGCGGGCTCCAAGGTGAGACAGCAGAAAGGAGGTGCATGAGGAGGACAGCTGCTCATGGCATGGTGGCCAGGAGGCAGAGAGGTCCAAGTGAGGGGGTGGTAGCAAGGCCTGTGACCACCAGGGACCTGCCTTCTCTGGCCAGGTTCTCATTCCCAAGACCACATTTAGCCATCAACTCATCCACGGACTAATTCACTGATGATCATCTCACCCCACAACCCAATCACTTTCTCAAAGCTCCACCTATGAGCACAGGAGGCTTTGGAGGAACACCCAGATCTAAACCGTAACATTCTGCCCCTGGTCCCCAAAATAATAATGCACATCCCATTACATTAAATATGTCTAGTCCCTCACTAAGAGTTGCCAAACTCTTAGCAGTTTCATCATTGCTAAAAATTCCAAGTCCAAATTTTCCTGAGACTTAAGGCAAACTCTTACCTGTGAGCCACTGTGAAAAAAAAATTAAATTAAATTAAACACTGCTGACTTACAAAGGCACAGGGTAAACATTCCCATCCCAAAGAGGAGGAAAAGGGAATAGAAACCAACGGGCCCAAAGACCAAAACCCAGCAGGTCAAGCATAAATCCTGTAGCTCCAAGCCCAGCACTCAGGACAAGATGTGGCTCAAAGTGAACTCCAAAGATCGTGGGCGGCCCCACCCCTGCAGCACCGCTGGTGGTTGCAGCCCTCACGGCTTCTCTCTTGGGCTGGCTTTGCTCACTCCGTGCAGTGTTCTCAGAAGATCCACATTCCTGGCTTCTTCAACGTTCTGAAGTCTCCATTGCCTATTTGCCCCCACTGTCACGGCTTCACATCTTGCCCTCTCAGGGGTAT